TGATGCTGGTGATGCTTGGGCCCTTGCCGCGGCGCGGAAAGCGAAGTCCGGCTGATGCTCGTGATGCTTGGGCTCGTGTGGCGGGGTCGAAAGCCAAGGCCATCTGATGCTGGTGATGCTTGGGCTCTTGTCGCAGCGTGGAAAGCGAAGTTGGGCTGATGCTCGTGATGCTTGGGCTTGTGTCATCTGATGCTTGGGCCCTTGTCGCAGCGTCGAAAGCGAAGTCCGGCTGATGCTCGTGACCTTGGGCTCGTGTGGTGGGGTCGAATGCCAAGGCCAGCTGATGCTGCTGGTGATGATTGAGTTCTTGGCAGCGCAGGAAGCGCAAGCAAGATGACAGGGCCGGCTGATGCTGGTGATGATTGAGTTCTTGGCAGTACGGAAAGCGCAAGCAAGCTGATGCTCGTGATGTTTGAGCTGTTGCGACAGCGTGGAAAGCGAAGTCCGGCTGATGCTCGTGATGCATCGTGTTGGCGGCAACGGTGCATGAAGTATCGCTGCCCTTACACACTCCTATTGAGTAGGCGTGGCTCGGCCCGGACTTCTAAGGCAACAAGCAGAAGAAGCATGTGGAACTATCGTGGTATCATTGTAGCATCAAGCCTGGTGCTGTTGAGAGCCGCAACCCTTCTGTACGAGGCCCCTTCTTCAGTCCAAGCCCCGCACCCTCAACTCCCGACCCTATCCCCTACAGCTCTTGACCCAAACCCCTGAAATTTCTTCAGCCCTTAAATCCCAGGCCGGGGCCACGCGTCAATGCAGGCGGGCCGGAAGGGTGCAACGTGGGGAGTTCAAGATAAGGACGAAAACGAGCATCGTGCGTCTGAGCCAGTCCTGCTTTCGTTGTCAACGCAGTGGGCATGAGAAGACCCTGAGATTTGCATATGCCCTAGGCCCGAGGCCACTCCCTAGGGCTCTACGTCATGCTAGCATCGCAGCAGATCTCCAAACTTCCGCGAGTCGCAAAACCGAGGATGCTTGACCCGGAAAGCGGAGACCCAGGGAAGGCCCTGCCAAACCAAAGATCCGGTATACCCTAAGCTTCAGAAAGCCGAAGAAGTCCCACACCCCGGTCCCGAGCCCTGGGTGCCTAACACAAAGCACTTCACCCCAACATACGGCCCTTAAAAATTAGAATAGGGTTTTGGGGGTCCCTTATTTTCGTGATAGGACCGCCAAAACTCTATTCCAATTATTAAGGCCGCCCAGACCGGTCGGGAGCAAAAAAATAGATCATCCAAAAGGGGTTACTATCAAGTGCCCTTCAGAAGTATAGGGTACCAAGTTAGGCACTACTTTTGTTTTAACCTCGCGGGCCTCCGGGCATGAGCTTGGGAAGGGCTCCCTGCAGCCGCTCGCCGCCAGCGGATGGAGCTGGTCTTGGGCCCAAGCAGCCGCGATTTTCTAGAACAAGGGTTTGGGTTTAGCGCCCAGGGTTTAGGGTTTTAGGGTTCAGGGGTTTAGGGTTCAGGGGTTTAGGGTTTAGGGGTTTAGGGTTTAGGGGTTTGGGACTTCAGGAGTCCTTGAAGTTCCTTAGGTTAAGTACAATATACCCAAAGCCCCATTCCACTCACTGCTGCTGCCCCTGTGGTTCAGGGCTGTTTCGACATGTGACAGCAACATCTGCCAAATGGCTTTGGGGCCGACGGATTTAGTATTACTTTGATCAATATATAGGTTTTTTTTTTGAAAAAATGGAATCAAAATTTTCTTTTCTTTAAGCGATGAAAAGAAATTCATTTTGATTAGAAATATGATCATTTAGAAAGGAGTTGGATCTGTTATGAAAATGAATTTCGAAAATAAAAAACTTATTAAAGTTACATCAGATCTTACAATGAATAAGGGGGTAGAGGCACGGGTTAAGATAAGAGTTGCCAATCAGCTTATTACAAGAAGGGCCGCTGTAAGGCTTCTTTTAGGGTGATGTGACTCCTGAAGCCTTGTTCTAATTAATTTCTGACCGGAAGTTCGCTTGTATTTTGTGGCGCGAACGAGGGATTTTGGATAGAAGCCTAAACCCTGAAGCCCCGAAGCCTTCAATCCCGAACCCTAAACGCGAAACACTAAGCCCTGAAACCTTAAACCTTTCTAGCAACCCTTTGAAGGAGCCCTTAAACCAACTCTTAAAGGAGCCCTTAAAGGAACCCCTAAAGGAGCCCTGAAAGGATCTCTTAAAGGAGCCCTATATCAAAACACTAAGCCCCCTGCCTCCACCAAGCACGCGAGGTCTCCAACTTGCAGTGGCTGTGCCGCCTCTTCTTGGAGACGCGAGAGCCTTGCCTGGTAATACATATATATATATA